ATGTGGAAGTAAATTACCATAATGGTCTAAGCAGAAATCACTGCTACTAAAAAAACACACTTGTACAAAAGGCCACAGTGTGGTTCCACCCTAGCTGAGGTCATATCCTGGTAACACATTCTCATTACGTTCCCTAGGCCTTTATCATCTTAGTTGTGTTCTAAGAGAAGGGTCACCAGCGATGGTCCATGAGCCAATATGGTCCACCAACTGTTTGATTGGAACACATCACAGTCATTCATTTACCTATCGTCTGCTGCTGATTAGAACTTCCCAATGACAGAACTAAGTAGTTCAAAAGAGAACAGTGGCCTATAAAGTGTAAGATCTTTAATCTCTGACCTTTTTACAAAAAGTTTAATACCCCTTTCTTTAAGAGAAAAAATTTGTTGTCTCAACAGATACTTACTTACACTTTTGAGAAGATCCAAACAGTCTAGACCTCCTGATAACTAGAGCAAAACAAGCATGAGGAAATGGATGGGTTGTGAGGCTAGAAAAAAAGGGTGGGATTAAAAGATGCAGGGTTAACTTTGGTTCTTTACCATTATTGTTGATATTTTACCAAATACAGTAAAGAGCCAACAAATGTTAGAAGTAGGGCAGAACATGGTTGGAGCACCTGGACACTCAGTGAAGAATGGACTGGTTGAGAGAGGCAAAGAATTAAGAAGCAAGTTAGACATTCATAAGGTTTACACCAGGGTGGATGGCAATGGAGAGGAGAGGCCAATGGACAGAGTCAATCTGCAGAGATTGGTAAGAGATGGACTTCATGTGGACAGAGAGGGCTGTGTCAAGGTAATTATTGACCTCCATCAATTGATACTTGAACAAATAGGATTGGAGGGAGTGGTGATTTGGGTAGAAACATCAAGTTCATTCTTGAAATTGAATCCATTATATGATACCTGAATATTAATATATTTAGAAGTAAAAATATTTAATTGCAACAGCTGCCTCGTTGTTACATACCCATGGCTTTTAATAGTGCATAGCAACAAGGAAGTGTTCAATAAATATTTGCAGAATAAACAAATTTTCCTCTGGTCATTATCGCTCTGGCATTCAGAATATCTAAGCAATATCTTTTTATTAAAAATGTTTGATGAAATATAATTTTATACTTGAAATGTGAAAAAAACATGCTATTTTTTTTTTAATCATAGAAACTAAATTTTAAGAAAATGTTCTTCCCTGGTGGACCCTGGGACTTTGAAGGAAATGCTTTTTTGACTTCTGATTATTTAAATTTTTCTTTTTAATTCTGTGGCATTTGTGCTTCTTGTTGTGACTTCAAATTCCTTCTGGAAATAAGCAGGGAATAAATTAGAAAGCAGCACTAAGCCTTGGATTAAATGTGGTTTGTGGAGTTTTATGGCTAGATTCTTGCTCTTCACCTCACCCCCTCTCTTTGGCAGCTCCTTTTCCTGGGCTTGTCCTGGGAAAGGCCAGGCTTGGAGTCTCCCCTCCAGATGCTTAAAGTAACAGTGAAGCCTGGTCCCAGATCACCTCCCCAGCTCTACCGCCTCCATCCCTGTGCACATTCTCTTCTGGCCATGACTACTAGTCTTGGTGTTTAACACGGAAATATCCTGAGCTAGTATTGCAGCAGACTGACCTCTGTGCTGTCTTCCCTTGGGCCATCCCTGCAGCACTGTCTGGTTTACACTACATCCTCCCGAAGTCTGAGATACTAGCTATAATACTGGGATCTGCATCTTCAAAGGGGCTTTCTCCATTCAAGAAGGAAGCATGAATTGTTCAGTTTTCAAGAGTTGGGTCAGAAGAAACTCCAAGCAAAAGGACTTTTTCCTTTCCCTTCAACAAACACTACAAAGACTCATTTAAAATCTACTACTTTCTACTGCATGCAATGACTTCTCCTCCTTCACCACCTATTTTACCTTTTTTCTCTCTTTCCAACTCTTCTTTTTTAAACATCTCCTGTCCTATGACTCCACTTCTTCATTTCATATTTTACCCAGCTTTGGGTTATTCCTGGGACATTTAAGGAAACTGATTCCTGTGTCTTATTCACAGTAAAAATAAAACAATAAATAAAAATAAAATAAATAAAACAATAAATAAAATGGAGTTCATTTTCAATAACAAGATCTGAGTCCTGTTGCTTATTTTAGTACTTTTATGAGTAAAGAAAATTCTGTGTCCTAAGATCCCAAACTCTTTTATACATGATACAGTAACAACCTTGTTCAAATTTGCTCAAATGGTCCTGTGATTACTAGTTTCTTGAGCTATAAAATGGGTAGAAGGCTTATTCATTTAAATCTGACAGGAGAATTCTCAAAAGCACAATGATTGTAAAGGGATGTGAGAAAAACACATCTACAGTTTCCTACCAAAATTTGGAACATGGCTGCAGACACTCACATCAACATTTTCTGCCATCATTAAGAAAACCAGTTTAACCCAATCAAAACATTCACCATTCTATTTCAGATGCCTCAAAGGAATTATGAGAGATAGGTGGTGACTGAAAGCCCTTCTGGAATAAATAAAAGCAAGTAATGCCCATCAACCCTCCTCTTAAAGATTTAAATGTGTTCTCTAGAGTGGGCTCCCCAGAACCACAGCTCTTAAACACCATTTGACTCCACAATTGTTTCAACAACTCAAGAGCAATCAGTCCTGCTACCACTTTTCATAGGAAAAAAAGAAAAAAACTCCTCCCTCCTGTCCTACCAAGAGGTTCACTGTTGCTTTTCTCGTTGTTCAGCTTTTCCTATAGAAGTTGCCAAGTTCTAACATGGTTCACTGCATATTTTAAATGCTGGAAGTAGTTATGGCCAAGGAAGGTCAGAGACCTGGCTACTGAGCAAGGATAGGGGTAGGGTGCCTGGAAAAGATGGTAGCTGAGATTTAGGTCATCACTGGAGAGATGATTTGTGTTCACTGCATCCTTATTATTTATTTACTGTCATTCATGCTTCCTATGGTCTTTTTTTAATGTTCTAAATGAAGAGCTATATTTTAAGCTCCTTTTAAGGTGATTTGCAATTACTTTAAATAAAAATGATCCAATCGTCCTATAAACAGAATTGCCATCTTCTGTAAATAGAACTGGCAAACATTTCATCAGTCTTAAAAATATTAACTCCCTTGATTAACCACCATCCTCCCACCAATGACTGACTCCCTTTCCTTTTCAGAGTTTCTAGAAACTTAAAAAATTCAGGACACTGGTAAACACACGAGAAAGAAACTATTCTGTTAAGACACACAGACTTGCTGTTTTTCCTGCATTGTCATGAGTGCTACAAGGGTTTCTTCATTTTCTTTTATTCTCTGTGACTTTTAAGAGCATTAGAATTTTAAGTAACAGACAAAACAGCAAAACAGAACCACTGGCAAAATCTTAAGCATCAGACTTACCTAGATTTTTCTAATTTCCTAGGTACAATATGAGAGTCCAAGACAAGAGCTATCTTAGAAAACTATAAGCCAAAATATCATGGTTTTTCAACATAAGCTTCAAAAAAGAAAGGAAGAAATGAAATAATAGAATATTATGATACCTGAATAAAATTCAGGTTGTGATTTTTATCTTACCATACATGGCCTAATTCCAGTTTATAGACACCCTCAAATTCAACTCTGGGCAATTCTCCAAAAAGGTACTCCCTCCTTGTCACTCTCTGCATGTTCCCTGCGTGTGCTGCAGCCAAGTGAATTCATCCACACTCTTGTATGTATGTACCGTAAAGGAGCACCTGCTAACCTGCCTGCAGCTAACTACCCATTCCCTTCTTCCACAGAAGAACTTTGATTCTCAACTGTGCACAATCCTACCTGGAATAAAGACTGTAATCCCCAGCCTCCCTCATCAGGTGTGGCCACAGGACTAAGTTCTAGTCAGTGTTATATAACAGAAATACATGTTATTAAAGATTCTGCTACCTGGAATGCAGGCAAGAGCCATCACAGCACCCTTCTACCTACCACAGACTCTTTTACACGAAAGTAATACAAAGCATCCATTTTGTCAAGTCTTGGGACTAGGGATTAGCTATTTGATTTAGGGCGAGTGAATGAAATAGTCACTGGTACGTCTACCATACGTTCCAAGGAGTCTGCTTGCTCTGAGACAAGAAATTTAGCTCTTCTCCTCTGCAGAAATTCCTTCACTCATCCTAAGATAGAGCCAAACAAAACCCATTGGAAAATTCTAGTCTACCAACCTCCCACAAGAGCAAAGACTTGAGGTCAGCTATGCCTGTTTACATTCTCATCAACTCCAGCACCCCAACACCTGCCCCATGCCAGGTGTGTCTCACTGAAAGGGCACACTAGATGTAGGATGCAGCCCACTATTAACCATAGCCTGGGCAGAGGTCACCAACTTCATCATTTGTACCCCATGCCAAATGTGCCCCTTTAGCGAGGCACTACTTGTTGTGCAAAACTGCTAGATGCTTTTTTAAAATTTATGTTTAACCAGTAACAGTTAAGTTATAAAGACTATTACTATATATTGGAAGGTACTCTCTAGTGTGTTAAGTACTCAGAAATGTAGTAGGATCCTAAATATGACAATTTTAATAAGAACAGAAATAACAGATGTCTATTAATCAATAAATGCCATGAAACTTCTATTATACTACTTGACCAGCACGCTGCTGAGGCTAATATTTGAAATTCAAAATAAATTTCACTATACCTTTTTTACAGACAAGGAGACTGAGGCTCTCCAAGAGTAAATGATTTAGCTAAAACCTTGCAGCCAGCTCATGCCAGAAATAACAGAATCCAGAATTGTCCATAGGTTTAAAATACTTTAGCTATTCACTCCTACCTCTCAAAATATTAGATAAAATAATCTTAAAGGAATCTTTAATTTCTCCACAGAAGTAACACAAAACAGTCTAATCCAACATCTATTTTATTTAACATGAGCATTTCTTAAAAACATAAAACAAAAAAAACCTGATAGAATATCAACAATAATGATAGAAACAAAATAAATTACAAAAGTGTTTTCTCTCAATTCTACCTTTGCTAGTAGTTTTACTTCAGGGTGACCAATGTGTTTCCACAATATAAGTCACTTTTTAATTCGTAGACATCAAGACTAAAAAGAAACACCTATAAAACACGTTTGTGGGTAATGACAGCTCTGTGTGCCATTTCTTTTGAAACAGATCTGACTTATTTTCCACCTTTTTGTTGAATTTCTTCTTTATTTTAAAGAAATTATGCTCTAAAAGCATTCATTGAATACATCCAAATTTAGGCAGGATTCAGACAATAAATGAGTTTAAAACAGAGGGAAGAAATCAACCTTTCTATTGTAATAAGGTATGTGCAACATATGTATATATTTTGTCTATGTGAGGGTATTTTTATCTAATTTAAAGATATATATTTTAATAGAGATTACATTAAAAGTTTATCATTAGAAAGATTAATATTTTCTTGGGCTGCCGAGTGCTAAAGAATTAAAACAGCTCTTTAAGAAAGCCAAAAGGAAGGTTAGAGCTCCCTCTCTCTTATTTTTGAAGAAATTCACCGAGGTTATCAAACACACAGCTCCAGAGCCTCCAGACACAAACGTTAGCGAATACTGGCTGTTCGTTATTCGTAAGTGATTAAAATAGTGGAAAATAACTTTTAAAAGTAGAAATACTCACAAAGCCATTTCAAACTGTTCCAGCCATTTTTTCTTTAAATCTTTTGTTTTGCAATAAAATTCTAACCCATTTTGTCCTTGAGTATGGATGAGGTAGAAGCCATAAGACCACTGTTAAAATTAATATTCTCTGTGTTAGTATCCATCATTTATTACAAATATCACATTTCCAAATTCACTAGCACACCACCTTAGCCATGTAAAAACACCTCATAATATCATCAATGCATACATTATGAATAATCATGTTTATTATTGTAGCCAACTTTGGTCTGCAACAAATACACTTCACTGTCTTGATCTGAAGGCAGTAGAGATGGTCAGATCAATGGTGGTACTTTCAACTATAACTCACAGAAGCCTGTGCCTGGTGGCTCTGAGAAAACAAAACACCTGAATCGATAAGCCAAATCTTAAAATAATGTACAGTCAGGACTCCATATTCATGGGTTCTACATCCCCAGGTTCAACTAAACAGATGGAAAATATTTTTGTAGTTGCATATGTGTGGAAAAAGTACAGACTTTTTAAAATTTCTTGTCATTATTCCTGAATACCGTATAATAACTGCTTATACAGGAATTACACTGTACTAAGTACTATAAGAAACTTAGCGATATTGTAAAGTGTAGAGAAGGTTATATGTGAACCCTATGACATTTTTGCAAGGGACTTAAACACCTGCAGGTGTTGGTATCCGCAGTGGAAGAAGAGTCCTGCAGAGCAAGTGATGCATTAGCTTACTCTTCCTGGCTATTCAAAGTCATGAGTAAACTATAACCATTAGTGTCTGAAAAGTCACCTTTTTATTTTCCTTATCAGTAGTAGGATTATTGGCAATTTTGTACTGCTGAAGGTCTATTATCTCCTTCATTTCGTAGTTATCACCTTTTCTTTTACATACAATCACTGCCAAATCAAATAAGAAGATATGCCTGTGAAAGGGGGTGGGGGAGAGGAAGAGAGAGAGAGAGAGAGAGAGAGAGATTGAAATTAAAAAGTTTAAAAGCATATATATTAATTTTTTCCTGGTAAGATGTGGCTGCACCAACCAAGCATTCTTCCTTTACATAAAAGATAAGAGGCAGGGTAGCACAATGAGAAGACTAAGGAACGTGACACCACCAGCACTGTGTGACCGGGCATTATTCTTTACCACACAAATGGCCTCAACGCATCTTAGCTCCTTCATTTAAAAAATGGACAACACCATCCCAACAGAAATGTCCATACTGCAGAGCTGTTGAAAGGACTAACTGAGATGAGCTTACAGCTTTGTTCATGAGTAATTACTCTTTCTTATTTAAAAGCTCAAAACTCAGAAAAGTATTAATGAGTAAGACCCCAACTACCTTTTCCTAAGTTACTAGCCATCAGTCCAAATGCATAGAGAACGGTCCGTCCCTTTCACACACAGAACCAGATTAAACCCACAGGGCTCTGGCTGGGTAGCTTTATTACCACCTTCATTTCACTGGGGAGCAAATTCAGGCTGAGAGAAGTTAGATCACTCACTGAAGGTCCTATTGCCCAAGACTGACACCTAGGACTAACTTCAGAGCTGTGCTTTTATACTTTATGTTGTTCCTCATGATTTAAGGAACCACTAGAAACACAAATTAGTTGATGTACAAGCAAAACATAAACCAGGACAAGTGGTGGCTACATTTCCATGTTCATTTTTCTTCTTATTAAAAACCGTGTAATTTAGGGGAGAAAACAAACCTTATAACCCTATCACTCAAAAGCTGTATTTGTATGCTTTCAATAGCCTTCAATGATTAACATGAATATATTTTTGGATTTGATGATTTAATATCTTTCATGTGTTGATGACCATGATACAGCACAGAGTTTTAATACTTTCATCACTTTTAAAGTCTTAAGTTTTAAACAATAGTGACTTTGGGGCTACCTGTGGAGCTAGGGTATAAGGAGAAAGCAAGAGCTGATGCTGCCCCCTGCTGGCTGGCTTTCTCTTCTTCAAAGATTCCAGAAAAACATCACAAAAGCATCAGTTTGACAGTCACACAGGTAATCTTCAAGGACTCCACCTACAAATTTCCCTCAAGAGAAATACCACATATAATCCTTACCTGGTCTTTCTTAGGCCATTTTCCATTATTTTTATTTTTTAATGAATACTAAAAATCAATTGTGCTCTCATGGTAGCTGTCTTCCATTTCTATTACAATTTTACTCCATACATTTGTTTTTTACATCAGGTGATCATTTGTATTTTTCATTTCCTTCTTAAGAGCTTTCTTAGACAAAACAGCAGATACCAGAACAGAAAGAGAAACACCCATATATCTATATTTGAAAATTTTAGGAACCACAGGTTGGTCTGTTCCTTGTTTCTCCAGCCCCTTCATTATGGAAAACCTGTTTACTGTTTAAAGGTTGTACTCAGTCTTGCAGTACTAATTGCCAATGTTTAAAATAAGCACTGCTCTTCTCACCTTTCTTGTTTTGTATGCTTGTCCAGAGTGGTTATTCGAATTTCACCATCTCCCTGAGGTCGTCCAAAGAGCAAAACTGGTTGGTTCTAAAATATGAAATGTGAAAAAAATAAATAAAATAAAATATGAAATGTGTATGTCAGAGTTTTTCATAATCACATAAAAAAACAGAAATAAATTGTAATAAAAATATTTTCCCAGGACAACTATCTTATTACATTATAAATTTTATCATTTTTACATATTTTCCAGCACACTTTAATCTAAAAAGCTCAGAACTACGTGATATACTTTCAAATGCCATCTGTCCTTTATAAATCCAAGGGTACCCTAGGGACATTAATTAATTTCACTTATAATCTTAAAAGGGAAGTTAGAGAGCAAAAGAGAGAAACAACTAGAAAAATATAAACCACAAGACAATTCCAGGGACTGCTCCTTGTCATGGCACCCACTGTAACACAGGGCAAAATATGTAACCCCTGATCTTGTAGAACACACTGTCCAGTGGGGACAAATACTCACAGAAGCACACAATTACAAATGCACAATTGCCCTGAAGGCAGAGGATAGAAAGGGAGATCTAATTTGGTCTAGAGAGTCAGAGATGGCTTCCTTGGGCTAAGAGCTTCTGACTTAATGATTAAAAACAATGAGCTATTTCCCCGAGGAAGACAATAAAAGTATTTTAATAGAAGTATGTATGAGCATTTATAGCACTTGTTAAGATTATCACTGACATCTACATATTCCATTGTAATAAATGGCACAGATGTGTAGTTACTTAACTATATTACAAGAAAGGACAAAAACAAATGCTCCCTGTCAAACCTTCAGTGATGTTTTTGCAGAAATAGAAAATAGTATGTACATATGTATGAAAATGGAAAAATGACACCTGTTGGAACTATTCTAAGAGTAGGGGGGGCGAATAAAGGAGAATGATGGAGGGGTGAACTTAACTAAGATATATTGTAAGCATTTTTGCTTAAATATCACAACGTACCCCCAGTACATCAGTAACATGATGATAAAAAGAAAATTCCATCCCAAAATTCATATGAAACCTCAAGGGACCCTAAATAGCCAAAACAAAACAATGACAAAAACTTACAAAAAAACAAAATTGGCTATCTTGCACTTCCTGATTTCAAAACTTATTATGGAACTACAGTAAACAAAACAGTGCAGTGGTGGCATAAAGACAGACATACAGACAATGGAATAGCAGAGAGCCCAGAAACAAGTCCTCACATATATGGCCATAATTATTTTCATCGAGGGAGCCAAGAACATTCAACAGGAAAAAAGTCTTTTCCACAAATAGTCCTGGATAAAATGGATATCTATGGGCAAAAGAAAAAAATTGGACTCTTACTTGGACAGTAAGAGTAGAAGCCTGGTAGCCTGAGGCTGGAGGGAGGGGAATAGGGAGGCTGTGGGAATAGGGAGTACAGTTTCAGTTTTGCAAGGTGAAAAAAGTTCTGGGAATTGATGGTGGTCAGATACAAAATGCTGTGAGTGTACTTCAGGTCCCAGAACTATATAATTAAATTTTTACAATGGCAAATCTAATGTTATATATATTTTACTACAATTTTTAATAATAGTTAGCCACAGGTAGGTATTATTCTGAAGAGGAAAGGATAATGGGAGATTATAGAACAGGATTTATTTTAGGTTAGACCTTGAAGGAAATAGAGAATAGTGAGAAAAGGAGCTCTAGACTTTGAGAAGACTATAATCAAAGAGAAGACTACACGAATGCATGGAACACCAGAGATTCTAATAACTACGGTGGAATATGAGTTCAGGAATAGAGTCTAAGTCCAGACCACTGAGGGATATAAATCTCTCTGAAGGAAGCAACAGAAAATCTTGACATGTTTGGAACAGACTTGAGTAAATTGAGAAATCCACCATTTGGAGCTTCAACTATGTGAAGATTTGATTAGAGGCTACTGGGATGGGAAAGGAGCTCGATGATGGTGTCTTGGATGGGGAAGTGACTGTAGGCTCGAGATGGTTCAGAGGAAGCAGCAATGAAATCATTCTACC